GTGTGTCTACGTGTGACAGTGTGTGTGTCTGCGTGTGACAGTGTGTGTGTGTCTGCGTGTGACAGTGTGTGTGTGTGCATGTGTGTATTGTGTTCCCACCTGTGAGTACGATCAGGATGAGACAAGTCAGACTATGATAGTAAACATCAGCAGAAATCTCAGGGCATTAGCACAAGGAATAGTTTTTTATCTAATTAATCCACTGAAGGTACAAGTGGTTCTTGGAGACATCTGTCCTCTGTGTGGTGGCTTATGACCATCCCAAGCTTCAATCTTGAGCATCTCTGTCTTAATATGATTCTTAACATGCGGCTCACCATGATGAAGATGAAACATGTACAAGCTCTTACATGCTTTCCCCAGAAGTGACACCATTTTTTATAAATTTTCCCTTCTTTTGAGATTAATATAATTACATCATTTCCTCTTCTGATTCCTCCCTCCAAATTCTTCCATATCCCCCACTGGCTCTCTTTCAAATTCATGGCCCCTCTTTTTTTATTAATTGTTGTTATATGTATATAACATATATGCATACATACATATATATATATATATATATTCCTAAATACAACCTCCTCAGTTTGTGTAATGTTACTTGTATGCATGTTTTCAGGGATGGCTATTTGGTATTGGATAACCACTTGGTGTGCCCTTCCCTGAGGAAGACTGTTTCTCTAGCTCTCAGCATTCCTTAGCTGCCTGTAGTTCTTTATGTAACTTCCGACATTCCTGGGAGGCACAATCTCACAGCAGACTCTCTGGTCCTCTGCCTCTTACAATCTTCCTGCCCCTCTTCTGCAATGATCTCTGAGCATTAGGTGCAGAGGTTGTGTTGTAGAGTTAGCAGCTAGGAACAGGCTCCACAATTCTGTGCTTTGATTGGAGACACACATTTTTATTCCTAGCGTACTGGCTAGCTTCAGTCACATTGTTGTTAGTAGAAAGGCAAAAAAAAAATCCATAATTTCCATATGTCCAAGGAGGGCATAAAACTAGCTCATGAGCATCTATTACAACCAGTATGTGCTGGTTTAGTTTGGTATCAGGGCAGTAGGGTATGCTCTAAACCCCCCAAGACAATGTAGTCAAGCATAGAAGAAGAATGCTACAGCACATGGGTTGACTTGCTTTGCCTCATGACATGTGGAGACAGACAGAAGATGCTCAACATGGTACAGACAGCTATGCCTGGGGGACGCCTCTTTGTTCCTGGATAGATTTAATTTTCCATCCAACAGTTACTGCCTCCTAACGAAAGTGTGCTTTGTTTCTGATTTTTGTCCATCAATAAGAAGGTGTTGTGGTAGCATGTTTCTTTCTTTCCCCAACATGAACCTTCTCTCACACAAAGGGTATATTTTCCAGCTTTGCAAAAACATCATGCAATTGAGAGACCCTGGGAACCATATATTGCACGTTCACTAGAAATTTCTGTCCTGTGTCCTTGGAATTCAAAAGCTGGTGATCATCACACAGACTGGAGCAGCATGTCCTTCTGACGGCCTTCTGTGATTATCTGTTACTTCTTGTTCGCTGTTGATGAGATTGGGTTGGGGGATAGTTTTCACTCTAATCCACTATCTCTTTTTTAATAGATGAGGTTTTTTTCTTTTTTTCCAGACAAGGTTTCTTTGTGTGGCCATGGCTATCATGACTATCCTGTATAGACCAGGTTGGCCTTGAACTAACAGAGATCCGCCTATCTCTCCTCCCTCCCGAGTGCTGGGATTAAAGACGTGTGCCACCATCATCCAGCTGAAAAGAGATTTTTCTTAAGGAAGACTGCATTCCTTCTATCAGAAAGGACACAAAGAAAAAAATGTTCCATCTCTCTCTTGACTTATAACTCAAAGTTTCTCCTGTCCACCCACCTTATGAGTCTTTCATTTTCACTGGAAACTAATGCAGGGTAGAGTCTGCTTTGGCAGACACTGTTGGGCCCCAGCCCCATGGGGTCTCTGTGAGTTGCTGGTCAGCCTACAAGGACAACTTGTTTTCCAGTCCAAGTACTTTCTGTTTTCTAGTCCTGGCTTACTGCCCTGGCCTTGACCCTCTAACATCAACATTCAACAGGAAAAAAACAACGATCTCTCCTACCTGGGGTTTTTTCCACTGTACTGTAAACCTGTATAAAAAGCTCCTCCCTCCTACAAGGGAGAGACCTCTTAACACTTACAATGAAGACACACACACATTCTCCTGACAATAAAGACAACACATGCATTCTCTTAGTACAAACAAACGGACGTCTTGTCTCTCTTTTCCTGATACCTTGGACTTCCATGGCACCGCAATTGGAGGTCCCACCGAGATCCAGAGACACTTAAAAAGACTAAAAAAGATTGGCCAGATAAAAAACTCAAAAAGGAGAAACTGAAAAAAAAATTAAAAACAGGTACCTCAACTTCTAACAGTAAAATTAGTTAGATTAAATCTCCAGGCCTTCGCCCAACAAAGGTTGAAAAAGTAAGGGGACCCTGAGAGATTGCCCTCAGTTGGAGGGTAGATTGGATTAAATCTCCAGGCCTTCGCCTGACACCAAGGTCAGAAAAGAAAGGAAAACCTAAGAGATCACCCTAGGTTAGAGGGTGGATTGGATTAAATCTCCAGGCCTTCGCCTGACACCAAGGTCAGAAAAGTAAGGGGACCCTGAGAGATTGCCCTCAGTTGGAGGGTAGATTAGATTAAATCTCCAGGCCTTCGCCTGACACCAAGGTCAGAAAAGTAAGGGGACCCTAAGAGATCACCCTAGGTTAGAGGGTGGATTGGACTAAATCTCCAGGCCTTCGCCTGACACCAAGGTCAAAAAAAAAAGGAAAACCTAAGAGATCATCCTCAGTTGGAGGATAAATTAAAAGTGGGTAAACTAAAATTGGTAACAGTTAATAAAGGAGATACTGGTATTAAGTAAAAAAAAAAGATAAAAGTATATAAAATAAAAAATACACAGAGAGTCTAAATACTGTATACAGTTGTGGTGTCTTTAAATTGTTTAATTGCTAAAAAAAAAAACAAAAACTACTAAAAGACAATTAATTATTAATGTTACTAAATTAATCCAACTTACATGTTTTAAAAATACTTTGACTTCTAAATTTAAATATAAGGACAGGTTACTTGGGAAAGAAATTTCTACTTTTGTTTCCACAAAACATAAAAAGCTGTGGGTTCCTTCCAGACTAGTATGGTTTGATAAAACAAGACCACCTAAAGCAGTGGCCCAAGTGATCCAACACCTAAAACAACTGAGATGATTCAGCCTTACAGATCACAAAAACAAGAACTTCAACAGGGTTCTGGGTTTGTTTTTTTGTTTTTGTTTTTTTGTCCTGATCCCCATGGTATTTCAGCGCCCCTTAACAACAGAAAGTAGTTTTTAAAAAAACGACGCCCACATTCCCAAATATTGTTTATAAATTAACATTAACGGCCTAGTCACCTGAGATAGGTGCTAATTTATATATAAAGAAGGGGGGAGATGTTGGGCCCCAGCCCCATGGGGTCTCTGTGAGTTGCTGGTCAGCCTACAAGGACAACTTGTTTTCCAGTCCAAGTACTTTCTGTTTTCTAGTCCTGGCTTACTGCCCTGGCCTTGACCCTCTAACATCAACATTCAACAGGAAAAAAACAACGATCTCTCCTACCTGGGGTTTTTTCCACTGTACTGTAAACCTGTATAAAAAGCTCCTCCCTCCTACAAGGGAGAGACCTCTTAACACTTACAATGAAGACACACACACATTCTCCTGACAATAAAGACAGCACATACATTCTCTTAGTACAAACAAACGGACGTCTTGTCTCTCTTTTCCTGATACCTTGGACTTCCATGGCACCGCAAGACACTAAATAAATAAATAATAAAGGGGAAGTAACTGAAGACCTCTGTGTCACAGTAGAGGAAAAGAAAGGATTTGAGAAGGAATATGGAAGGCAGGGGCACATTCCACCGCTTCTGATCTAGGGATTTGGACAATGTGCTTAGTTTTGCGGTTCTCCATTTAGATACCTTTGGAAAGATACTGATGCTGTCACCACTGTGACACTGTCCTAGGAAATGGATGAAGTAACATATATGAACCAGCAGAAAGGAAGGACTTATCCCCTTTTCCTGACAAATCTGTCCCATCTCCCTCTCTTCCCTTCCCCACCCTCTTCCTCTATACCCCCCCAAAACACACACACACACACACACACACACACACACGTGCATTGCTGAGATGACCACAATAAACTTTTTTTGCTCAAAGCCCAGGCCCATAAGGCCTCCTCTATGGCAATGCTCCATCAGTCAAGGCCCAGGGGGCACTCTGCTGGATTTTAAACAAAAGGACAATTCTTTCATTTAGTGTATTAGGAAGAAAAAAAAACCCAAAGAATTCCTAATCACAAATCCACTTGCTTTACTTGTTCTCCCCTAAGCAAAGTAAGCACCCATATTCCTTAAGCAAATGCCTTCACAGTAGCGCCATTCTGTGGCTGCAAGGAAGCTAATGGTCTTCCGATGCCACAGTCAGGAGAGTAACATGAGCTCTGCTTCCGGGTTTTCACATTCCTGTGAAAGTACCTTCTTCTTTGTGCTTCTACCCGTGAATCTCAATTCTCCTTTAGGGCTTTCTCGGCCTCTCAGAGAAACAACCGCCTCAACTCCGACCACTCCCTTCCCACACTCCAGTTTATATTTCTCTGTGCGAAGATAAGCAACAAGCCCTCAACCAAAGAGAGCTTCAGCGAAGGTGTTGGAAGCCGACTCCCAGCTGCTCTGCACAGCCCATGACAAGGACAGAGAGCAACACACATGTGACCTCCCCACCTGCACAGCCAGGAGCTGAGGGTCCATCTGTGGATGCTCCTGGCTTTATTGCTAATAACTACTGAGCTAAGCACACACACACACTCATGCACACACATATACACACACACACACATACACACACTCACACACACACTCACATACACACAGACACACACACACACACCGAAACAAAGAAACCTCCTTTGATCAATCATTTATTCTATGAATAATGATAGGGCACCTCTGCGTGTGTCTCTCCTGAAGTGTGTGTTCATGGAGGTGCATGCAGTCAGTGTCTCTTCACCCACGTAAAATCCTTAGAAAGTGTTCACTTTATCACTTCCCTTCCACGCTCAAGGTTAAGTGGGAAGCTGTCTGCCGGGACTTTAGAAACGCAAGGAACAGCACAAGAGCAAAATGACCCCGGGTATCGCTCACAGAGTTGCAAAAGGAGAGAATTGTTGCGTGAGAAGGCACGGTACAGCCCGGTTAGGAGCAGCTCTTCGAGCCACTGACGGACAACAGGGCTCAGGAAGGCTGTGGAGTGGAACATTCTAGACATGGGAAACAGCAAATGCCAGAGACAAGTTGGGAAAGCAGTGCATTGCCCCAGAAAGAAAATAAGCAAAAGAAGAGAAGTTGGAAGTTCCTAGGTGATAGGCTAGAGAAGCCAGCAGCCCAACTTCCCTTCCTGGGAAGGAATTCAGACTTCAAGCTCAGGCGATGGGAAGGAGTGAAAGGGGTTCCAGCAGGGGAATCACTATTGACACATGGTTGAAAGCCTCCCATGGGCTGATCTGTGAGACTGTTGGGAGACAGGGGAAGTGGGAATGACCACAGGGACTTCCAGCAGCAGTCCAAAAGAGAGAAGACAGTAGTAAAAAGAGAACGACCAGGGCTGGACTGGGACTTGCAGTGAAAGTGATGTGAGGGGTAAGATAAGGAGGAATGCAGGGGCCTGGAGGGATGGTTCAGAAGTTAAGAGCATTGGCTGCTCCTTCAGAGACCCAGGTTCAACTCTCAGGATCTACATGGTAGCTAATCCTCCATAACTCCAGCTCCATGTCACTTGGCGCCCTCTTCTGGCCTCCATGGGCAATACACACGGCAGGCCGACATACACGCAAGCAAAACACCTGTACACATAACAGGGTGTTCTGTGTGTTTTAGTTTTTCATTCCTAAACTCTCAAAATTGTTTTTAAGAAAGGAGTGGAGGATGACAGTGGACCTGGGGCTTGAGCAGCTTGTGTGTCTGGCACAGAGAAGGTGAAGTGGCGTGGGGCAAGGGACGCGGTGGGGTGGGGAGTGGAGCTGAGGCCATTTTGATGATGGAGAGAGGGCTATCCAGGCGGAGATGCCAGAACAAGAGGTGTAACTGTGGGTGTCATTGTCATGGGGAGGAGAGTTTAATGCCCAGGGGCTGATCCAGCCTGCAGGGAGGAACGTGAAGTTCAGAGGTACCAGTTGAACCTGGGGAGGAACCCGTGTTTCTGCTCCTGTGTTTCCAGCTGCTGCTCTCGGCAAGTCACGTGTCCCATTAATATGCTGAGCAGTGTCTCCTTTCTTTCCTTCACTTCCTACTCTCCAGCTGTAGATCTCCAGCCCTGCAGAGAATAAGAAGGAGGCCGAATCTGTGCCACCAGCCGGGGTAGCTCGTCTTGGCAAAGCAAAGTGATCCAGACCTTGTAGAGATGGCCTGTTGCTTTCTTTTTTTTTTTTTCTTTTTTTCTTTTTCCTTCTGTGAGCCTTCTTTGCTCAATTTCTGGCTAGGTGACAGACAGACAGGATAGATTTACTCATTCACAGTTTCATTTCAACATTCACTGATCATCTAGTGTTGGGTTCAGAAAACAATACCCCAAGTCCCAAAGCGGGGTGATTCAGAATTAAAGGAACATCCTCTGCCCTTCTGCTCCCCACAGCCTGGTATTTTAACATATGCACACTCTCTCCCAAAGCACACAGGAGGTCTCTTCGCTCCGTGCAAAGCACACAGTGGGTCTTCCTCTGAAGTTCTGTTCTAGAAGCAACGCAGTCACTGTGAAGCCTAATTTAGCAGGAGGCTACTACAGGAAGAAGAGACTGAAGGTGAAGCCCTGGCCATCAGCCCACCCTGAGACCCAGATTCTACGCACGCACGCACCACACAGCCTGAGTTTGCAGACACTCTTCCTCTCCCCCTTGCAGCTGCTGTTCCCACCCTCTAGGACATCTGCTCCCCTCTAGTTGAGTGTCTTCTCCTGTGTGTGGCTTGGGAAGTATCTTTCTTTCTTTCTTTCTTTCTTTCTTTCTTTCTTCTTCTTTTCATTTTTTTTTTGAGACCTGGAAGGAATTTTAATTTTTTTCCTTTTTTTAAATTTAAATTAGAAACAATCTTGTTTTATATATCAATCCCAGTTCCCTCTCCCTCCCAACATCCCATGCCCCCCACCAACCCATATCCCATCCCTCTTCTGCTCCATAGAAAGGGTGAGGCCTTCTATGGGAAATCAATAAAATCTGTCACATCATTTGGAGCAGGACCTAGGATCTCCCCCGTGTGTCTAGACTGACAGAGTATCCCTCTATGTGGAGTGGGTTCCCAGTGTCCATTCGTACACTAGGTATAATTGCTGATCCATTACCAGAAACTCCATAGATTGCCCAGGCTTCCTAACTGACACCCACATGCAGGGGGTCTGGAACAGTCGTATGCTGGTTTCCCAGCTATCAGTCTGAGGTCCATCAGCTCCTCCTTGTTTGGGTCACCTGTTTCTGTGGATTTCACCAGCCTGGTCTTGACCCCTTTGCTCATCACTCCTCCCTCTCTACAACTGGATTCCAGGAATTCGTCTCAGTGCTTAGCTGTGGGTCCCTGCTTCTGCTTCCATCAGCTACTAGATGAAGGCCTTAGGATGACATATAAGGTAGTCATCAATCTCATTATAGGGGAATTACATTTAAGGTAGCCTCTCCCCTATTGCTTAGATTGTTAGTCATCCTTGTAGATCTCTGGACATTTCCCTAGTGCCAAATTTCTCTTTAAACCTATAATGACTCCCTCTATTATGGTATCTCTCTTCTTGCTTTCCTCTATTCTTCCCCTGACTTGATCTTCTTACTTCCTCATGTCTTCCTCTCCTCTCCTCTTCTCCCCTTCTCTTTCTTCTAACTCCCTCTCCCCTCCCTCCATGCTCCCAATTTGCTCAGGAGATCTTGTCCCTTTCCCCTACTCTGGGAGACCTCGTATGTCTCTCTTACGGTCCTCCTTGTTTCCTAGCTTCTCTAGCAGTGTGGATTGTAGGCTGGTAATCCTGTGCTCTATGTCTAAAATCCATATATGAGTGAGTACATACCATGTTTGTCTTTTTGTGACTGGGTTACCTCACTCAGGATGGTTTCTTCTAGTCCCATCCATTTGCCTGAGAATTTAAAGATTCCATTGTTTTTTTTTTCCCCACTGAGTAATACTCCATTGTGTAAATATACCATATTTTCTCTATCCACTCTTCAGTTGAGGGGCATCTAGGTTTCTTCCAGGTTCTGGCTATTACAAATAATGCTGCTATGAACATAGTAGAACAGAACCATTGCTGTATGAATGTGCATCTTTTGGGTATATGCCTAAGAGTGGAACTGCTGGGTCTTGTGGTAGACTGATTCCCATTCCCAATTTCCTGAGGAATCTCCATACTGATTTCAAAGTGGCTGTACAAGTTTGCACTCCCACCAGCAGTAGAGGAGTGTTCCCCTTTCTCCACACAGGCTTGGGAAATTTCTTAAGGTTTGGTAATTTGGCTTCTGACAGGCTCGTGCTTGTGTGCAGCTTCCAAGCCTAAAGAGACAGCCCAGTGAGTAAAGTGTTGAGTATACAAACACAGGAACTAAGTTCAGTCCCTCAGTGCCCATGTAAAACCCAAGCATGGTCGCATGCATCTGCGATTCCAGCATTGAGGAGGCAGAGACGGGGCCTCTTGGGGGTTTCCGGCCAGCCCATCTTAGTTCAGTGAGAGATACTATTATCTCAAAAGGTAAGGTGGTAGAGCTAGAGAGATTGCTCAGGGTTACAGGACCGGGCTTCAATTCCCAGCACCCACACGGTAGCTAACAGCTGTCTATAACTCCAGTTCCAGGGAATCTGGCACCCTCTCACTGACATACATGTAGGCAAAATACCAATGCACATAAAATAAAAATAAATAAATAAATCTTTTTTTTAAAGAAGGTGGAAGGGACCAGTGAGGTATTACAAGTGTTTGCCAGGAAAGCCTGACAACTTGAGCTGAGTCCCTGGGACTCACACAAAGGTGGAAGAAAAACCCTACTCAGCAGAATTGTCCTGCTGCCTCCACGCATGCACTGCCACACCTGTGCCTGCACACACACATCATATGCACACATTCAGTAGTAAATAGACATTTTAATTTAAAAAATAAGGTAGAGAGCATTGGAGAATATGCATGACATTGACCCCACAAGCATACATACTTGAATACACACACACACCACACACACACACACACACACACACACACACACACACACAGATTAAAATATAGCAGGTTCAGACCAGGATGTTAAGAAAGGGGGAACCCTTGCTCCCTGGTGGGAATATAAATGAGCAATAAAGATTAAGGAAAACACAATATGGAAGTTCCTCAAGAATTACAATTACAAATATGATTCAGCAACCTTAAGGAAGTGAAGTCAATGTGTTGAAGAGATAGATCCACACTTGTGTTCACTGCCAGCAAGCATTGGAATCATCTACTCAGATGAGTAGATGGAGGGACTGTGTACATATGCACAACGGGATACAAGTCATCCATGAAAAGAGCAACATCCTGTCTCTAACAATAGCATGGATGGAGCTGGAGAGCATTGTGTTAAGTGAAATAAGCCAGGCCCAGAAAAAAAAAAAAGGACTACATGGTGTCACTCATATGTGGAACGCAAAAATATGTAGGGCTGGGGTAAGTTAACCAGTGGGAACAGAGTTGCAGTAAATAGGGCAAGAAGTCCTCGTAGGCTAGTGCATGGGCCGTGGCTGGAGTGGTAATACGAGGAGGATTCCTAGTACTTTCACCGCCAGCAAAAGACCAGTGCTCGAGGAGATACGTAGGCAGCACTGACTCGGCTTGGACATCACATAATGTACACATGTATCAGAACATCACTTAATGCCTGTGATTATGCAGAGCTTTTGTTTTTCTGCACAGGTTAACAAGTGAATGCTGTTTAATTTTTTTAAGGAGGAAAGCAGAGGGGCTGGAAAGATGGTTCAGTCAATAAAGTGTTCTCCATCCAGCATGAGGACAGGAATTTGACCCCCAGGTCCCACACTAAAAGCTGGGATGAGAGCATATGACTGTAATCTCAGCACGGGGGAGGTGGAAACACAGGTCCTAAGGCTCACTGGTGAGCCTCGGGTGCAGCGGGAGAGACCCTGCCTCAAAACATAGAGTGGAGAGACAGTTAGGGAAGACAGTGTATGCCAACCTCTGGCCTCCATGAACATGTGCATGTATACACACACACACACATAAACACACACACACACACACACACGAAGATGGTACAAGATAGACAAGCTTAATAACTGTCTAAATATAACTGTCAAGGCTTACAGATGTTTTTCTCTTCAATGGAATTTTCCAGTTGAAAAAAAATGGAAGTTATCATCATGGCAAACTACAGGATTCATTAACAAATGCTACTCACACGGTATGGCAGCTCTAGCATCAAACTTTAAGCTGGCTTCCCATCTTCACTCCTTCTTGGCTCAACACAGAAAGCAAACACGAAAGCTGAATAGCAAGAGTGGCTTCAAGTCCTTACTCTCAACCTCTAGGGCAGAGTGTTAGAGCCTGTGCTTTCTCTCTTCTCATTGGCTCCTTTCCATGGGCTAGTAACACTGGATGAGCAGGCTGGCTTAGGACACATGACTCAGAATGCAGGGCCACTCTGGGAAGCAGAAGCCAGCTTCACCCTGGGCCCTCTCGTGTGCACTCAGCCTGTCTGGTCAGAGCTGCGCGTAAGCGGCCACACGGATGATCGCCTCCCACAGTCAGTAAACACACAACTGGGCCTTCCTCGGGCAGGCCTGATGGGAACCTTTCCAGTGAGGGCTGAGAATGGCAAAGGCAGCCCTGGAAGGGCGGGGAGAGTTCCCGGCCACACCCTCTGGCATCACCGGCTGTAAAGGCATTCTGCAGTGCTCTCTGGTTCTGTGATGGCGAGAGGCTGTAGTTGAGGAAGGATGATTAATTAGTGCCCGCAGACTCCCAGCATAATTGAACCCTCCTGATTGCAAGGCCTCACAGAGAAGCCCCCGAGATATTTAAACCCTCAAGCACATCCGCACTCTCCTTTCGTGATAAGGACTGGAAAGAGGAATCAGTAATTGCTTTCTGAGAAACAGAGGCAGGGCCGTGACCGTTGTTTCAGAAGATACAGCTTCCAAGGCTTCTCTAAGAAACACTCCAGAGCCATCACTGAACTATAAAAAGTAAAACAATTAAACAAATTGTTAAATTAATTTTTTGGGTCAGCACACAAAGTAATGATTTTTATCATGGTATCTTCATATGTGTCATTATACTTTGCTGAACATTTGATGTCTGTGAAATGTTCAAATTGACATTGCACACCCCCTGTGACGTGGCACCAGAAAACACATAGTGGCATTCCTGGGAAAATGTGTAACTGAAAGTAAATTGTAAGGAAATAATCAGATAAACTTAAATTGGGGAATATTTTACCAAATAAGGCATCTATGCCTTTAAAAACATCAGTCATGAAATATAAAGAAAGATCTAGAATTGGGTGCCGACCAAAAAGGAGTGAAGGAACATGACACCCAAATGCAATATGGGATCCCCAGAATGGATAAACAGAAACAGTGACTAGAAGAACAGATTTGGGTCATTGGCCAAGTTTGAATATGGATTACATACATAATAATACCCTTACATCGGTATAAAATTGTCTAGATTTGAAGGCTCACATATTTAATGTTCTTGGGAAATATTTCTGATAGTATTATGAGCTCCACAATTTACTGACAAATAATTTAACAAAAACATAAGTAAAATAAGGCCTTGAGAGGTTCCAATGGGTAAGGCATTTGCCACCAAGACTAGCAACCTGAATTCAATCCCTGGGATTCACACAGAAGAAGGAGAAAACTGACTCTGGCAAGTTTTCCTCTGAAAAGGGGGTGGCACACACACACACACACACACACACACACAAATGTGATCTGAAAAAAATACTGAATAGGTACTCTGCAGGCTGGAGCAGCGATGGCTCTGAGGTTTAGAGCACTGGCTGTTCTTTCAGAGGACCCAGGTTCCATTCCCATCACCCACATGGCAGCTTACAAGCTTCTATAATTTGAGTCCCAGTGGGATTTAACACCCTCTTCTGGCCTCCCTGGACACCAAGCACAGGCAAATAATACACAGACGTACTTGCAGGCAGAATACCCATATACATATTTTTAAAGGTATTCTCCAAAAAGATACAATACTTCCTCTTTGTTCTGGAAACTCTGAGAGAGAGAGAATCAAGTCTTGAAAATGCCATAAGAGATACAAAATATTTTTGCAACAAGTCACATCTCTCTGTGTTAGTTACGGTTCTCTAAGGAACAGAACTGATAGAATGGTGTGTGGGGGAGTATGTGTGTGTGTGAGAGAGAGAGAGAGAGAGAGAGAGAAAGGGAGGGAGGGAGGGAGGGAGGGAGGGAGGGAGGGAGAGAGAGAGAGAGAGAGGGAGGGAGGGAGGGAGGGAGGGAGGGAGGGAGGGAGGGAGAGAGAGAGAGAGAGAGAGAGAGAGAGAGAGAGAGAGAGAGAGAGAGAGAGAGAGTTAAAAAAAGAGATTAATCCGAGTGGTTTTCAGGCTATGGTCCAAGCAGCCTGGTACTTGCTGTCTCCTGAAGAAAGGCGGAGGTCCAGTAGTTGTTCCATCCATAAGACTGGAATCTGAGAGAGGTCCTAGAGAGCTGCCAGTCTTCAGTCCACATTGGAATCCTGAAGAAGGTCTAAAACCAGCGAAGAAACAGCTCAGGAACAGGACAGATGAACTTTCCAGTGAATATGAAGCCAACAGGCAAAGTGCCAAAGCTCCCTCCATCTGTGTCCTTTCTCACATGGGCTATCACTGGAAGATGTGGCCCAGACTCGGGGAGGCTCTTCTGACCTCAAATGATCTGGATTTACAATGGGTCTTCCAGTTCAAATGATCCACCCCCCAAAAAATCCCTCACTGGTGTGCCCAGCTGCTTGGGTTTTAGTTAATTCCAGATGTGATTAAGTTGCCAACCAGGCTAGCCTTCGCTGTAAGGATTTCCAGTAGGTCACATGACGTGGGGATCTTTCTGAGCACTGCTTTCTAACTCACATGTCAAACCCTAGACCTTACAACACACATGGGGCTCCAGGAAATGACAGTAGTTAATGTGAGGGTGCTCTGACTGGCTCTGTTGGGAGCCGTGGCAGACCTCACTTTCCCTCCTGCTATGGGCTTGCAATTTCTCCACCCCTATTTCTGTCTCTCTCTGTGCTGAAAACATAGCCTGGCCTGTGCCTTTATAATAACATAAGAAAATTCAAGACAGTTGTTCACCTATGTCACAGATTGTGCTTTAAATATTCACACTGAACTGGTCATGGCCCTCAGCTGGTAGAGTGCTTGCCTGGCTTGCACAAAGCCCTGGGTTCAATCCACAGCATCTCCTGAATCAGGTATGGTGGGCTCCGCCTGTAATCCCAGCGGGTTCAATCCACAGCATCTCCTGAATCAGGTATGGTGAGCTCCGCCTGTAATCCCAGCACTCAGCAATGAGATGAGGACAGGGCCTGTGACAAGTCTTCTGTTAAATCTTTACTTTTGACCTGTATCACTGGATCATACTTATCTAGGGAGTGGGCAGACATTACCATTTATTCTCTTTCTGAGTTTCTCATGGACAACCTGGGTTGTCTTTTTAAACCAGAAACACATATTTGCATCCCACCCCAAAATTAAAAATGTCTATTTTATACAGGCCCACACCAAACACTTCAGGATATAACTCACACATTAAAAAGTACAATATGGAATGCAAGATCTTGAAATTCATACTGCATAAGTAATGGCAGTAAAAAGCCAATGGTATTTTAAAGATATTTTAAAGATTTAGTATTTATCATTGTAACAGAGTTTTTATGTTTGATGTTATGTGAAGCTATGAGCTCACTTCTGAATCGATGCTACTTTATTGCTCGCTGTTATATTTATGGAATGTTACTGTGAGCAAAGCTGAACAGACCAAGTCTATTCCCAACATGACCTATAAATAATGTAAGTAAATAAACTAAGCAAATTTTCATGAAGTAATGCATTATTTACTATTTCTTGTTGCTGAAATATGAGTTTAAATTTTGGTTATGTATTAATGTAAGATCTTAGCTTTTTCTAGGCCACCACAAGGCCTTCTTAACTCTGGAGCTAAAAGTCATATTCTCTCCAAAAGCAGGAGCCAGAAGCCAGAATATGAAAGCGGCGTTTTCATCAAAGCCCCATGATCTGTGATTATCCCAAAGATGTCTACTTTAGTCCCATAGCGTAACTAACTCAAGTGAGTGCCCTCCCTACATGTATAGTTTGGACAGCTGGGTCTGCAAGACCAACTCACCAGTTGTCATGGTTAAAAGTGTACAAGGAGTGGCCTTGTGGTTGATCTTCATTGTCAGCACAACTGGCTTTGGAGTCCCCAGGGAAGTATCTCTGGGTGTGTCCTTGAAAGTGTTTCTAGAGTGGTCCCACCCTGAAGGTAGATGATGTCATTCTGACTTGTCTGTCAGACTGAGTGAAAAGGGATCAAGGAGGAAGCTGGCTAAACACCAGCATCAGTGTCCCTTTCCTTCCCAACCGTGGACACAACGTGACCAGTTGCTTATATTCCTCCTGACACGAACTGGAGCTGTTCCTGCTGCCAAGCCCTCTCTCATGAACAGCCCTCTGAACCCAGGAGCCAGAAAAAAACCTTCCTAAAGTTGCTTCTTGTCAGATATGTAGCCATAGCACTGAGAAAAGTAATTAGTATGCCAGGGTTCGGTGTACCTCACTAATCAAAACAATTTTAATCTCCCTATATTATGATCCAAATGGGAGTCACTTAAATTTTCTTCAAGCAATAAAGTCTGATGACTTCTTCCAAAATATTAACTCTCCCCATGACACCATGCCCTGTTCACATTCAAATATCAAGCAAACAAGACAGGTGAGGGACTGTCTAGAGAGATGGCTGTGATGGCAAAGTCAAAGGTTAAACAACCAAAACACAAACACACAAATAAGACAATTTCACGCTAACACAGAAAGTAAGAGTAATGCTAGCAAATGATGGTGTCTCTTTAGACAGGAAGGCCAGGAAGAAGTAATGTTCAAGGTGGAGCATCCTAAATATGAACCTTATGTTAGAGAGCTAACTCTTTTTTTAGCCCTCTCTCTTTTAGTTGGTTTGATACCAGCTGAAGTTCACTGACAGACAAGATTGTGGTTCAAATGCATCCCCCAAAGCTGGCATGTTGGAAACTTAGCTCGAAATGTTTTGAGAGATTGGGCTTGTAAAGGGTGGTTAGGTGGTGAGAGCAAGCGCTGGTCTCATAAATGGCCTGATGCCATCATTGTGAGGGTGTCATTGTGCCATTGATGTCATTGTGAGGGTGGGCTAGCTAATCTCCAGAGCAGGCTTGTCACAAAAGCAGCCTCTTCTTGCTTTCACTCCCTCCTCCTTTTACCCCCTGCTGCAGGATGATGCAGGGCAAACTCGGGCTCCAGAGTCATGCTCCTGGGCTCCAGAACTGTAGTGAGTCTCTGTTCTTCGTAAGCTACCCAGTCTCAAATAGTCTCACATAAAAACACAAAACAGATTAAGGCGCATAGGGAAAGTGAGCACAAGCCTAGAAAGGAAACATCCCAGGGCATCTTCTCAGAGAACGGTAAGGACGCTGATAGGCAAGTATCAAAGGGTGGATGCCATTCCTCACAGAGCCAGGATACAAAACCACACCTACCACAAAATTCAAAGGCAGAAGATGGATGATTGCCATCAAAGTAGTGCAGAACCAAGGTAGCTGAAAAAAAAAGGTGTTTATGATGTTTATGACTGTGTGTGTGTGTGTGTATGTGTGTGTGTGTGTGTGTGTGTGTCTGTCCTGCTGCATGTATTTGTATATGCACTGAGAACCCAGAGGTATCTTCCTCGGTCTCTCTCTACATTGCTTTTTGAGACAGGGTCTCTCACTGGCCTCGATGACTGATACAATTAGATTGGCAGGCCAATTGAACCTCATTCTACCTGTTCCGCCTCCCCAGTGATGGGATTACAAACACACCATGATAACGGGCTGTGTGTGTGTGTGTGTGTGTGTGTGTGTGTGTGTGTGTGTGTGTGAGTTCCTAGAGATTGAAATTCAAGTCCAACAGTAAACACGCTACCAGTTGAATCATGGGCATCTTTTGTGGATTCAGAGGAACTTAGAGAGATACCACTTAGCCAAAGATGTTCTGGCTGAGAGGACAAGCAGGCACATGGCACCTCGTGTGCCTTCCTGCTAATGAGGACCCTGCTGGGCTCCTGCTCCCAGACAGCATGAAGCTGTGACCTCATCCAACCTCAGAAGGCCAGACGTCTTGCTTGTCTGGGAAGGTCTTCCACATCTCCGAGCCAGGCCTAGAAGTTCTAGCTTTTCCATTCATGAGTCTCACCCCTGAATTCTCTGAACTCAAGGGACCAGAAAAGATCACAGAGGTTTCTGAATTCAATGCTCAGACTCTATAGAGAATGAAGGAACAAACTATTCAGGACAGAGATTTAATGCTTAGTTAGATGACCAGGCCCTAAGCGCATTTGTGAAGACAGGGAGGGTTGACTTCTGTTGCAGTTGCAGCACCTTTCGCTGTGTGAGGCTAATGGGCCTTATTTTCCTAATGCCTAGCATGTATTCCATGCTGTGTGCACCTGCTCTCTCTATGAGACTGCTGCTCAGTGAAATATCAGGGATAAAAGACCATAATGGGCGAACTCACTCTTAGTCAAGAATTCACAACAGTTTAATAGTAATCAATCAAAACCCTTATTAGAGATCACCTCAGAGGGTGTAAATGGGATGGGAGAGGAAAAATGGAATCCAGGTAAAGAGCTAACCCAAGATCTTTATTGTTTTATAGAACTTGTTTATTTGTTTGTTTGTTTGTTTGTTTGTTTGTTTGAGACAGGGTCTTGCCATGTAGCTCTGGCTGACCTGGTACTCACCATATAGCCCAGGCTGTCCTCAAAATCAATTCAGTCCTCTTTCTCTGCCTCCAGGGTGCTGACATCACAAGCCCAAGCCACCATAACCAGCCTTCTTTAACTTCCGTTTACACGTAGGACAGGGTGATGAAATTTTCAAAACCTGACGGTACTCAGGTGCCCAGCACCTGGGAGAAATTGAGGACCATCAGCCACATCCTCATGTTCCTTCCTGCCATCTTTTTCTCCAGGGACAACCTAACACCACCGATAGGCTTTACCTATAGTGTGCCTTATGTAAATGGATTCATAGAGTGGACTCTTAGACTGGGCTTCTATTACCTAACATTGTGTTGTGTGGTTTGTTATCTGATGGCATTGAGTTAGTTATTCATTCTTGTTGCTTTATAGGATAAGGAGTCATCTTGTAAATGTCAATATTTGACCCTCAGGACTGATTTCCAAGCATACTTAAGCAGGGAAAATCTAAACTCATCCCTAGAGTAAAATTAACTCCCTTGACTGAAATCATTTTTACTTTGTTCATTGAGCACCGAGCTCATAATGCATTCTCTCAGACTCTTATTTAATTTAAAATTTACATCTGAGCTACTCAACATCAGAATGCAGACAGATAAGTTCAAGTCACAACCCTTTTCCTCTGCCAAAGGAATAAAGCCAATCTGTTCTCTGGCTCCAATTTTATTTCTTCTATTACAAGTGACTATGCTTGAAGACACATCAACAACACAGTGACCATTCTCCAGGGGCCTCAGCTAGCTCAGCCATTCCATTGTTGGCATTTTGTGATCATTATCTAGACAATTCTAAGCCATGCGAACATATACAAACAAAGACATGGGCTACAGCTCCTCTCATATTCCTGCATGTGCTCGCCCATTCTCCCAGCTTGCCCCTCCTGCAGCACCTGCCCTACATCGAACACCTAGAAAGAAGAGAGACCTTACACCAAATGGTTCCTGCTCTCCCTGGAGTGAAAGCCATCCTGAATTTTGTTTGAATGGCAATAGCATGTAAGATGAGACAGGAGGAACTTGAGATCAGTTTGACATCAGGCATCATGCCAGATCTGCCAAAGTGGTCATGGGCAGCTGAGGCAGATTCCTGTTTACCCGGTGGCTTGGAAACCAGAGAGGTTTAAACAGTGGAATGTTCTCAGGACCTTATGATACTTGTAGCTTATTGCCATAGCCTATAAAAGTCTCAACGATTTTCCAAACTAGTGAGGGGAATCCCTTCCCTTTGGAACAAGCGGGATCCCACGCCTGCATGGAGAGTCTGGGTGAGAAGAACATCAAGTTCTAAGTAAAAAGATGTGAAAACTAGAGCCTGCCATTAGGAGCTACAAGGCCAGCGTCTATCAGGAACATCTTGGGGAGTAGGCTACTTGACAACCACAGGCCTTTGTAATCTAAGTTTTGGAAACTCTTCTCATTGTCTGATGTATTTTTTAATTGATTCTTTGAGAATTTCACGTCATACACCCCAATCCCACTCATTTCCCAGTCCCTCCATGTCTGTACTCCACCCTTCTTGCCTCCCTCCCCAAAAGAAAATAAAAATAAATGATTAACAAAACAAACAACAACAAAACCACTTTGTTGCTCTGTGTTTCCTGTCTCTCTGTCATGTGTTCATTTGTCATAGCCTTGGGAGCTGTGGTGTGTCACACAGTGTACCCTTTGGCTCAAACAGCTTTGTAAGGAGTTCATAATTGGTCTAGGTAATAAAAAGCAGGAGTCAGATGTAGAAGGAAATGCTGAGAGATCAGAGAGAAGGAGCAAGCCACAGCACACCTTACCTCCTAAGCAGTTGGAGAGGTGGCTCAGAGGTTAAGGACACTGGCTGCTCTTCCAGAGGTCCTGAGTTCGATTCCCAGCAACCACATGGTGGCTCATAACCATCTGTAGTGAGATCTGCTCTTCTGGTGTGTTCACTGCAGTAAGCTGTTGGTCTGGTTCAAGGCCTCTGGCTTCTGGTACACCATCAATACTCAACCCTCACTGAAACTCCTCTAGGAGATCCTGTTGTTGCCCTTAGTTGTGGAGATCCTGTGGCTATGGTTCTGTAGGACCAGTACCTTCACACACTCCAGCAGCCCACAGATGGGGTAGATGTTAGGATGGGCCAACTCAAAGCCCTGGATCTGGGTAGTAGCTACGCTGATCAGTCCCAGCCTCCACTGGGACCGTCCCCACCCTCAGACAAGCATCAGGACCAGCTCTCCCATGCCCATGCCACTGGGGCCAGTTTTCCCCAGAATCAGATACAGCTGTCCCACTGAGGTGGCTGGTAAGGGGCAGGACCAGTTCTAAGGTGCCCAGGCCCCATGGACATTAAAACAGATTCCGGCTGTGGTAGGACCATAGACTGAGACACAGAAGTCAGTCACAGTTCAGCCCGTACATCACCATTGCCCCAGGCAGCAGCACAGGCCACCCTGGTGGTAGCATGACCCTTGGGCACCAACATGGCCTCATGTGTTGGCCAAGACCCAAGCATGTGCACAGCCTTCAGTGGTAACAGGAACCATAGACATCAACTCAGACCCAGGCTGCCATAGGACCATGGACCCAGACATTGACCTCCACTGCAGGTCGGGCCGGTGGCCGCCATGGCCCTGGGTGGCAGTATAACCCACCCATATCAGCCTGTTCCCCACGGCCATGTCATCTTCAGATATGCTTCTCTTCACAGTACAGAACCCACCAAGCTTCTCCTCCTCTCCCATTTCCCCACCACATACCTGTTCATCACAGTGTCGCCCATCATCCCAGGCCTCAGGGCGCTGGGCAGGCCTGGGTCCTGATGTATTCTTTTTTAACCCTGATCATTTGAGTCTTAAAGGAAATTTGGGGATTAAGAATATGTCCTTTTAGAATTCTTGAAAAGTCTCACTTCCTGGAGTACATCTGAAAACTATTATTTAACTAGAAGAGATTTTCTCTTCTAATTTTCAAACGAGAAATTTTAAATTATTGGACACATAAGTAAAAAAATCAAGCAGGGACAAGAAAAGACACCAATCAGATGGGACATGCCTCATGGTGTCCGCTATCTTACTTGGCGGTTTTAATGGTTTTAGTGAGTTTTAATTTTCAAAGAAGTACAGGATCGCTGCAATGAATGACACACTCCATCAACACCCAAAGCCACTGTCTCCCTCTTCACTCCCTCCATTCTCAACCTCTTCCCAGAGAAACATGACATCAGCAGCTCTACCCACGTTTTCAGACCTCCTCCTGCACATATAAAATATTGATAGAAAACCTGAATTGCCTTCTTCACATAATTCAGTAGCTTCCTCTTCCCTTTAATTATCACACACACACAGAGAGAGAGAGAGAGAGAGAGAGAGAGAGAGAGAGAGAGAGAGAGAGAGAGAGAGAGAGAGAGAGAGAGCAGACAGATGCAGGTGGAGCTCACTCTTTTAGATGGTGGCGTACAATTCCAATGTATGGATCTTTCTATTCAATAACGCCGCTGATGAGCAGTGAGGCCGCTTCCAGCCTTTTTGTTCATCTGTCGATAAAAGCAGTGCTGTAATAAATATCACAGTGCACATGTTCTTATAGATGGATGCTTTATTTCCATCGGGTCGCGTTGTGCTCGCTGTGCATGGTGAGAACTGAAGTGCATTGTTCATTTTAATAGATATCGGCATATTTATTACTCTCTCAAATCCGTTTGGCTCCATGATGAAGTAAAGGGCGTGCATTCTGTTTTCTTCCACATGTACAGCCAACTTTGCGAGTGCCGCTTATTTTAGTAGGCTGTGGTGCCACTTTTGATACACAGCAGGTCTCATGGACACCGGGACTTTATGTCTGAAGCTACTGTCCTGTCCCTCTGATCTATTTATCTTACTTAACATCAATAACAAACCATTTCGTTAGAGTTCTGAAGGTACTTTTAATATCTTGTATCCTTTTATATGCTTTTCTTGACTATTTAAAGATACCTGCTCTTCCATTTGAACTTCAAGTTTTACCTTAACAAAAATAAAATCCCATTAAGATGATGAATGGAGTCTCCTTCTGATCCCCAGTGTTTCCATACAGACACGGCCAAGTCCAAGAACATCTCCCATTTCAGTCCTAAATAATGGCACAGATAAGGTATAAAAAAACCTAATCACACCAATATTAAACTCTTATATATGGAGGAATATATGTTTTTCTAAGAAGCTCAACAAAAGGGCCCAAAGAAGACATAGTCCAGCAATGTTAACACTGTGAGCTCATGTACCAAGGTTAGCAAAGTTAGCAAGAGTCTGGGTGGGCCCAAGCCTTGACTGGCTGCCATTATCCAACCCACATTTGGGGGAGCATGTCCATGCTGACATGGCCAAGAGCTGCAGGATTTGGTGACCAAAGGTCAAACCCAAACCAAGGTCCCTGACCCAAATTCTTGCTTTGGCCCATCCCCACCTCGGCTCCAGCTCCTACTTCTGCCTGCCTCCCAAGTGCTGGGACTAAAGGTGTGCGCCACCATACCCATGTTTACAAGTGAAATCAACATATAATTATCAGACTGTCCTAGTTTGGGGAAACAAATGAAGGGAATTCTCTATTTTTTTCTCCCTCTGTGGCCTAAAAGATGTAAATAAGTAAAATTTTCATTTTACTTGATGACATTTAGAAAACATTAGATACAGTAGTACCCTTACATACCTTTTAAACACAGCAAGGAGCTGGTGCTGAGACAAGTCAGTAATTAAAGCCAACGAGTCACTCAGGACAGAGCCAGGAGCACAACACACATTCTGATGCCAGGCCTTCTTGGGTCACAGTTTTCTGCTTCATCTCTCCTGGAGTGACCTGAAATTCTGACTTCAGCAAAGGTGAGCAGAAACCCCATGGTAGGACTGCCCCTTGAGGAATGTCTGGTAGACCAGCCACAAACCTTGCAAGCCAGAATTAGCAACCACTAGAAAGTGACATTGGAACGGTCTCCTTAGCGACTGGTCCTTGCCACGGTGCAAAGGCAAACAGACCACAGGCAATGATTCAACGGCACCGTCACAAGGGGGCAAATTTTAAAGTAGAGTTAACGGTGGACACATTATTTAACAGCTCAGAGGTTAAGCCATTTGCCCGAAAGTATACTCTGACTCACAATTGACAGACCACTCATGGCCTCTTCATAGCATTTATCTTTCTTATTCCAGTCGTTGTATTTATTTGCACTACTCAGTGTTTGCCTGTTTGTCCTCCGTCCCTACCAGAATGGAGGCAACAGGGCCCATATTGCCCTGTTTTACTTACAAGATAGACACAATGAATTTGTGCTTAGAGCAAAATATTTGTTCTAAGCACAGAAACCTGTGGCTCGTGCCAGTAAACCTAGAATTTGGGAGACAAAGACAGGAAAATGAAGAGTCCAAAGCTAGCCTAGGCTAAATGAAGCCCTGTTTCAAACCATCCTCATCCCCATCACACACACACACACACACACACACACACACGACACAATAAAGCTAGGCTTGGGAGTGTACCCCCTTATTCCCACTTGGGAGAAAGAGGCAGGAAGATCTCTGTGAGTTCAAGGTCTGCCTGGCCTACTTAGTGAGTTCCAGACAAGCCAGGACTACATAGAGGCATAGAGAAGCACCCACACACTCACACACACACACACACACACACACACATACACATAGACCTAAACTGATCCCTGTTTGCATGTCCATTGAGAGGGAATCATCTTTCTCTATGGTATGTTGTCCCCATTGCACACAAAGTTTGCTGTGGCCTCTCTAAATATCAAATGTGCAGCTCACCCAAGTCAGAACTCTCCCTATCAATCTCATGCAATCACCCTATTTGACAGTGACATTCTTTTTAAAGGCAAATCAGTGTGAACTCCCAATATCCCAAATTAGATCAAGCTCACAGGTTCAAATGAGTTGGTCATTAATTACTCACCGCCACTCGCCTGAGTTTGAAACCAGCAGATGCCATTTTTCACTGGGCTGACGTCCTGAAAGGCACATTTGTCACGAGACCTTGCTTGTTTCTTTCTCTTTTTCTCCCACCATTGTGTCACTGAATCAACCAAAGCAATATTAAACAAGTTGCTAAATACAGATATTAGTTCATTTGTACCTAATTATTATAGGTAAATGGTGCAGTAAATGAAGCCCCCTCCGCCCTCCTCGGCTTGGTTTTTTTTTTTTTTTGAAAGCTTTTGTGATGTTCTCCAGGTAAATCCCATGCATAATGTAAGAGCGCCGATGTTGTTTGCATAATAAGCTATTTTCTACCGCAGAAGCAGAAACATTTTATCACTATAGAGAAAGCTCAAATTATGAATACATTTTCATATAAGTTGATTTATGTGAAAATTACAAATAAATGCAGAGCTGAGCTGCAAGTGAATTGTTTGTTCCCATTCAAGGAGTGGTGTTATTTGGAATTAAAAAAGAAAACAACCCTACCACGTTCTGCTAAGAGAAATATTTCCAGTGTTATCCAGATGGAAGCACATCCCACAAGACCAAAGAAGGTGGGTATGGGCTGGTCTGTAGCATCTGAAGCTACCAACAATGAAACAGAGTTGTCTGGTGACTTCTGAAGACATATATGCTCTGTGATACATGTATTGTTACAGGAACTTGGGCTACATACATTCTCAACAAACTTAACCATTTCTTTCAGTGGTCAAAGGAACGCAGACTCCTTTATTGCCCTTGAACAAATACGAATAGAGACCAATGTGTGCTGAAGAGGTGCAGGACTCAGCATCCACACGGCTCAGGCTCCTGACGGCTTTCAAAGCAGGCTGTGCATTCTAACTCCTGGAAGACTCATCCCGTCACCATCAGGAGTTGCTGCTTTAGTCTTTCACGTAATGCAAAGGAAAAAAACTCATGTAACAGCCGGGCGGTGGTGGCGCACACCTTTAATCCCAGGGAGGCAGAGGCAGGCTGATCTCTGTGAGTTCGAGGCTGGGCTGGACCGACAGCCTCCAAAACAATACAGAGAAACCCTGTCTCAAAAAAAAAAAAAACTCATGTAACTTGACCAACTTCACTAGATCAAAAAAAAACTTAGTCCTCACCCTGTGTCAAGACTCAGGCACTGAACGGCCATGCAAGGATGTCTGCCACGTTTACCATTTTTATAACTTATTTGCAGGAATTGTGCTGATTCTGCGCTTTACCTTCAACATTCTGCAATATTTATTATTTTAAAAAAATTTGTAGGGGGGGTACTCAAGACAAGGTTTCTCTGTGTAGCTCTGGCTGTCCTGGAACTCGCTCTGTAGGCCAGGCTGACTTCAAACTCACAGAGATCCTCTAGTCTCTGCCTCCCGTGTGCTGGGATTAAAGGTGTGCGCCACCACCGCCCGGCTTTAGCAACATTTATAAGAGACGATAAGAAATGATGGGCGAAGCCGGGCGGTGGTGGTGCACGCCTTTAATCCCAGCACTCGGGAGGCAGAGGCAGGCTGATCTCTGTGAGTTCGAGGCCGGGCTGGACGGACAGCCTCCAAAACAATACAGAGAAACCCGGTCTCGTAAAAACCAAAAGAATTAAAAAATTAAAAAAAAAAAAAATGACGGACAAGACACCGCTTTACTATATTACCTCGGATTTCACAAGCTGTAAGTACGTCAGCACTGAGAGAAGACACTGACTTGGCCTACCATTCCTGGTCCATTTGCGTGTTAGTCTAGCATCAAATGTGTCTGTCTCTGTGTGGGAACTGGCTTTACTTGCTGAGGACACTGCTCTGAGATTTGTTACAAAGTCACGAAGTCATAAAACTTTCCTGCACTCTTTTATCCCACCCCCACCCCACCCTCAATGTGCTCAATGGCGTTGCATTCCCCAAGAGGCAAACCTTTTGGATTCCATTACAGATTTCCTGCATTTGTATCTACTATATGCCGTATGCTCTGCTGGAAGACAGCTGAACCTGCTGAAGGGAAGGAAGCTAACCAAGTATACAATGGCATCAGCTCCACCAGCTCCATTGGAAAACAACTAGAGGGAGACATTGGAACTACTGAGACTGGGACTGAATCCCGGCTTTAACATCAGCACAAAATCTACACGCTGGAGGGGAAGGTTTAAAAACCAAGCCACTCAGTATCCCATAACCCCACGAGGTTTTCTCAGGCTTCAGAGTGCTGTGAATCACTAAGGGGGATGGATGTGCTATAACACAGATCCAGCTCCCTGGGGTAGGACCTGAGATTCTGCATTTCAGTGTGTATGCATGTGTTTGCGTGTGCGTGTGCATGTGTGTGTGTTCATTCTTGGGGAGGCCATGTGTGTATGCACAGGTGCAGGCCCGAGATCAACCTCCAGGAACATGATTCAGGAGCTATCCTCTTGTATCTATTGGGTTAGGTTGGCTGGCCAGTGAGCCCCAGGGGTCTGCCTGTCTCTGTCGGGCCAGCATCGGATCTAAGTGTGTGACACCACAGCTGATTTTTTACCTTTGCTACACGGGTTCTGGGGATTGAACTCAGGTTCCCACACTTGCCAGGCAACCACTTTATCATCTGACCTATCTTACTAGCCCCAAGATTCTGCATTTTGTTTGTTTGAAACAGGATCTCACTATGTAGCTCTGTCTGTCCTGGAACTCACTCTGTAGACCAGGCTGGCCTGAAACTCACAGAGATCTGCCTGCCTCTGCCTCCAAAATGCTGGGATTAAAGGTGTGCCCCGCTACACCCAGATAAGATTCTGCATTTCTAACAAGCTCCTAGATGCTTCTCCAAGCCCCTTCTTCCGCAAACTGCTCTTTGCGTACCAAAAGTTTGAAGAGATACGCACAATATTGGGGTCTCCTCGTTCCAGGGGCCATGCTACCACAATGGCAACACAGAAACAACTTGTTTCTGAACTCCATGCAATAATTTCCCGAGAGGCTGTTGTTTTTCTCCATGTGTCTTTTAAATGCCCCCCAACCATCCTTGACTCTAATCATGCTAAGTCCCTCTGAATAAAGACCCCCAACATCTGTCAGGCGGCATCTGTAAACTCCGTGGAGCCACGCTGTTTGCGGATGCCTAAGGTTTTCTCCTCTCAATCTGTTGTCAAGTCAGCCAACCAGACTCACATCAAAGCCAATTTGAATTCATTTTGTACCATTCCAACAGATTCTATTTCAAAAGGCTCTGATGACTTCAAAAATAATATTCATTACCTGGTCATTGAAGGAAACTGCTCTCAGGATATTGTGGCCCGCCATCCCCTAATTTGGTAATTCTATCAGGAAAAGCAATTAAGTTTGTCTGACATGACTTGTTTTTATAAATCCATGATGCTTACTGCTCTTAATTTAATTCTCCTCTTACCACTTATAATTTCATTCTCATCTGACAGTTCATATTTTCTCTCTGAATGATTCTTCCCTCTTATATTACTAATCACAGAGAATGCAGCGAAAAACACCAGCCTTTGGGAGGAGGGAGACTGGAAAATGACGGGCGGTCCAGGCTTCCCTCGGTGAAAGCAGGCGTTTTTTTTTTCCCCCTTGCCATCGCTGCAAGTCCCCAGAGCAGCGCTTGGCACACAGATGGTGCTCAATAAATATTTGCTAGCAGGCACCGTGCCAGGCACTTTGCAGACAAGGAAGACTCTGACCTACGCCTTGCTCCACATGTCACATTAGTCGGGAGGCAGACACTTGAAGAAATAATTATAAAGCAATCTGGGGAAAATGGTACTGTGCCAGGAATTCCAGGCACTGGATCCCACAGTTCTGTTTTCAATACTGAAAAGAAACTTCCACAGGAAACAGTTGTCAGTTTCTGGCCTATCTTCTGGAGACCTAGACTGCTTGTGATCATGCACAAACCACAGTGGTGTAAGTGAAGGTAGGGTCAGCCCCCTGGAGAGACAGCTCAGCAATTGAGATACTTGCTGCTCTTGCAGAAGACCTTGGTTCAGTTTCCAGCACCAACTGTCCATAACTCCTGTCCCAGGGGATCCAGACCCCTTCTCTGTTGTCCCCGTGCATTGTATACATATGGTGCACAGACATACATGCAGGCACAACATGCATCCACATAAAATAAATATTTTTTAAAAAACAAATATGGAGAAAACCACTTCTTCCTATCTTAGATTGTGACTTCCTTTGCATGAATTTGTGGAATGTGTGAGTTGAGGGAGGGCTGTGTGCTCTTCCTAAATAATGAGTATGGAGAGCAAATGGCCAGTAAACACATGAAGAAATGTTTGCCATAAGTCATCATTAGGGATATCCAATGAGATACACTGCACAGCCATTACGACGGCTATTAACAAAGCAATAGAAAGTAACAAGTATTGCAGAGGATTTGCAGAAAATGGAATCCCTGTACACTGCTGGTAGGAGCATCGGATGACTCAATTGCTGTGGAAATCAGTATTGTATGAGAGTTTCTGTAACAATTGAACACACAACACAGAATTTATCCATTCCATGTCTGGTTATATGCCCGAAGGAAAAGAAGGCAGGCATCTGAGCAGA